GGTAGCGTGTGTAATCATTTGATGAGGAATGTCTTCTCTAATTGATTGCTCGGGGTCCCGAACAATCAATGCTGAGTCTGTCGGGACGCCGGCGGTACAATATGCTCCTGTCGGGAAGGATGCAATAAATGCTCTGTAATAGGAGCATTTATTGCCTTTCATATCCGAACCTTACCGCATTGAATGCGGTCTCGTCAACAGAAGGGTGCAATTAATTGTTTGCTTTCCCAAGTCGCGTGTCAGCAACGGCACGCGGTTTGTCTGCTTCGGATGTGACATTATTTGCCACGCGTCCATCCCTTATTGGCCGTTACGTCGGTATTCCAGCACGCTCTGACATTACTTGTATAAGAAGAGGTCATGATGAATAACCCATACTGGCATAGGCTGATGTCCAGTATGTCAGTAGCTTTATCCGGGAGTAGAGGAGGCGTCCAGGATGGAGTGACCCTCGGCGCCGAGGAAAGGCTCACCTCGGGACCAAGGGGTGGTGTGTCCCCGAGGTACACGTCTGACCGAGGACACGTGTTTGTTTGTATAATATACCGAATGTGTGATCCTACATGAGAGGTACCTCGGGGTAAAGGGCGCTCTTCGCCGATGGTGCTTACATCCGGGCACATTGTTCCAAAATATCCCGAGGACACGTGTCATCATCTTAGGGCTTTTCAGAAGAGTCCCATCAATAACCAAATAAAATATAACCATAATGAGAAAAAAAATTAATACATGTTTAAGCTTGAATTGAAATCAATTTTAATCAAAAGTAATTGATGTCCCTGCATTTGTTTCTTTAAACGCCAACTGCCAAGTCTTTGCACTTTTTAAGCATTCGTAACACATAAAAATATGCACATAAAATATCTGTGTGGTAGATAACTGGTTTTTTAATGGTAAACAATGATCATAAAATTTCTATACACTATGGATAAAATAAATAAAAATTACAATCAATCTTCACATGATTGTCCAATGATAGAACATTCAAAGAGAGAAAATCGATAATCCGTAGGGAAAAAATCTAAGGAACGGTAAAAATTAAAGAAAATCTCGCCTTTTATGAGACTTGACCTCGGAATCTTCAATTTTTTCATTTAAAAAAAAAAAACAAAGGCACCAACAAGAACAATGAAAAGGTTTAATCCCAAAAAAAAAAAATGATCACTTTAAGAGCAATCTAAAGCATGGTTACTGCAACTAATATTTGGTGCTGCACTCCCTCATTCCGGAAGGAAAGAAAGAAAAGGTGATCCCCACCATCAATGGTGGTCCATTGAACCTCCCTGTATTACTAGCTAGCATGGGGCCTATTCTAATTGAATCATAGTTGTGGATACATACATATATGTGTGTGTGTATGTGTGTGTTATGCCACGAGTAATGTTTTTTTTCTATTTCTTCTTGCCTGTGGCATATTTAGTCTACATCTCAACTCCAAAGAATGAATGTACAGCTCAAAATTTGTTTCTTATTTCTTTCAAAGGAGTTAAGTTTTAATGCATGCTCAATTGAGAACGAAAACCGCACATCCGATGGACTTGGAGCGAAAGATGGAGCCACACAGTATGAGGATACTACATTTGCATGAGAGGAGGCATTCCACAAAAGAGAGCGAAGTTACTAATCAAACAATAGCCCGGGGACTGGGGCGGGCATGGCTCCAGACCACAACTATGCTTAACCCTTGATTGTGGCTAGTTTATTCTTTGATTCTTTAAGGATTTAAGATGAAATCAACAACAGTCACAATATTCGTTTGCTGAGAGAGAGAGAGCTTGTTAAGTCACCATACCATTTTGAGTAATGCTACATGGACTTAAAATATAGACTGGATAATCTCAACCATTGATTTTACTGTGGGTCATAGCATTTATTAGGACCCACTACCTATTCAATGGTTAAGATTATCAAGTCTAATTTTAAGTTTACTTTTTAAATCCATATAACATTACTCTACCATTTTTCCCGGTTTTCATTCCTTGACCCTCGCACAATAATATAAGTGTACTCGTTTTTGAGTAGGTCACAGCTGCTACTCCCACCATTGCCTGAGTAGTTTCACTTGTGAATTCCGTTCTGTCATCATCCAATTGTTTAAGTTGAAGAAATTAATATATGATCGATCACAACCACCAAAATGAATAGTATTACAATTGAATTAGTTAATCTTTAAATATGCGTTAACGTTTAATTTCATTTCTAAGCTTACCAAAACAAAATTTGATCATCGTCTTTGACAAATACTTGGCCAAAAAAAAAATTGCTTGGAAATTCAAACTTTCTAGGAAAAGAGCAAATCAAACATGTAATCAAAATAGTTCAATGCACGAGACTTTCCTAACACGTGAAACAAAAAGAAAATGAATGATACAAAAAGACAAAGACCAATTATAGTAGAAGATGGCACCCAGTTGATCATCCATTCCATTGATTGAATGATCCCCACAAAATAATTGCATGTAATGGAAACAATAATAAGGGTTCCTTCTCATCTAATTGGGTATTTTTTATGTTGTTGGGGCCCAACAAATTTGAACAGGAAGAAGTTAGCGGTGGAATTGGTTATGTTGTGGAGTATTATAAAAGTTTCAATTTGCTAGGAAATCTTGGTGCCTCTTGTTAGTTGGATATCTCCCACAGAAATGCAAATGATCGAGAGTCAAATTTGGTGTTCTTGTCCTTTCCCCTTGGAATTGGGGTGCATGCCAGCCTATCTATTTTGATAGTTAAGGGTGTTAGTAGTGTCGTGTCATTCTGATTTGTGTTGTATTCGTGCTAATATTTGTGTCAATTAAAAATTATTTAATTTTTTTTTTACATGTTATTTGCATATTTTACTAACTAAATGTGTTATTTGGGCCTAACACTAATCTAACTTATTTATTATTTGTGTCATTTTATTTTGAACTCAAAAAAGTGGGGAGGGCAACCAATAGGTAGGAACCTTCCTTGGGCGTGACCATGAAAATCATCCACTATGGAATGCTCGGTTTAAGTCATAGTTACTAACCCAGAAAGGTAGTCCATTATCAAAGCCAAACAATAAATCATGTTTCTCTCATAGATCGAACTCTACTTAATAACTACATGGGAGTCGGGGATGATCCTAAACGGATACAACTTACCACTAGACTACTAGTTCGAATAATTACCCGTGTTAATTGATCATATCAATTTTGAATTCGTGTCGTGTTTGTATTGAAGGGTATAATTGACATCCACACCTATTTAGGGCATTGTTTCAACCCTTCAAAAACACCTTCAACGAATCATTCTTGACTTTTATATATATCACAATGTGCTCCACTAGGCATCTGAATTCGGGGTCACGCTTGTCCCCTACAGTTTCTATAATCATTCATATATGCATCAAATCTGTTATATACAAGCTGGCATTGCTACAATGTCAGTTGAACAATCCAGAAAAAAGCTATTAGAGATGCAGAGGTATAAGGTATAGCTTCAAACAAGGGAGAAAAAGGAACATGAATACAAACGAAACACCATCCCGAAACCCTCCCGGAGAATGTGGCTAATCAATACTTATTTCCAAGCAATGATCATAAGTCCCATCCATACAATGCAATTTGGTCCCATCATAAAGAATAATACTTGGATTTTCCCTGATATCATAGGCGACAGTTTGTCAATTGAAAATAATTAATTTTTAAGTACTTCCACTTTACTGCTTCTAATAATGTTGTAATTGCATTCACATGTTTATAGTATTTGAATTTTTTGAAAAATGTCATCGCTAATTCAACTCCAACCAACTAAATGATATTTAACTTTTTACTATTAGATATATTTAGGAGACCCATTTATTCAATGGTGGTTAATGTGGCACATCAAGACCTGCAGGTCTACCCGAGTGGCAAATGTAATAGAAGCATTGTTATGTGAGCAATTAATTTGCTTTGCTTCGGTAGTCTTCTTTGAAGTAAAAGAGGGTCAGGTATATTGAAAATGTTTTCAGTTCGAACTTTGGTAATTTTTGGGATCAGGTCATGAAAGATTTATCCCTCATGAATACCTTAGTTTTGGCGCGGATGGTTTGTATTTGATCAAACCGGAAAGAGGATTAATTATGTATAAATTGACCCAAATACCCCTAATCGTTAAACTAAAAAAAAAAGTTTGAAAATTTGAAATTTTCCTTTTCAGGTTATGTTTACCAGGCCCAATTAAATTGGATCAAAAAACATTTACGGACAACCCAACAAAATCAGAACTTAGAAGTGCAGATGTATATTAATGGGCCCCAAGGTGTCCGGTACATGGACTTGGAGGCCTTTATGAAATCCAGTACAATGAACCACTTAAGAATTCCTTCACCAACATGACCCACAACCTCCTCCAAAATCTCTAGTTCATGTTCTCTTTCTAAACTCTTGGAAATATTTGTTACAACAATAATACCATGTAGTAATATTGAATTGGTATGACCAATCAAGAATATTTAAATAAATACGTAAATGAATCTTACTAAAATTAATAATTATCTCTCCTCCATGTCAGAAAATAACTACCCACTCCATGATATTGTAAATTTTTAAATAGACATGCATTGTTATACAACAAAAGTTCAAAATTCACACCTACTTCATACACATTTTATCTTAGAATATCTGATTAAGTCATCATAATTCACCCCTTAAATGCAAACAAACTAGTTTGGGGCCCATCCCCAACATAGATAATATAAGATTTGAGAGTATGACTACCACTACATCATTTGTCACCGTCCCGTACTCCCGCTAGATAAGGTGTTCGTGTAGTGTATAGACTATGTGGCATTTACACCATGAGACTCAATGACTGTAACCCCTAAAAACATCTCAAACCCGTTTTGTATAATGTTGTCTATTTGAATTAGGTCATCATCACTGTCGTAAACTACTTCCCACACAATTCCTCAAGAGATGTGAGATAGTTTGGCACATATACCATACTGTTTAGAAACCCTAGTCTCACTTGTAAGTTATCTAAAGAATAAGGCAATGATAGCACTTGATTATACCTGTGAAACCATGCTCATAAGAGCTGGTGCTAAAAGCTCCGGTCACTGGTGGCAACTCTCTTCAGCCGAAGGATCGCTGGATCTCCGACCGATAAACGACGACACCATGCGCCCTCTGGGAACCATCTCTTCCGAACGCGACTTGAGGAAAAGTAAGAAATCCTTATGAAACTACAAGAAGTATGCACTGGACTCTCGCGTTGTAGATATGTTGATCTTTCCTTTGTTTTAGGGCTACACTAGCATTGCGTAGTGTTAATGCGTGTCCTAAGTTCCTCATATACGAGTAAATATTGAGTGTAATCATAACTTCTTAGTGATAACTCAACAATTAGACAAAATTGATCTTACTCCTTCAAATAACCACCTTCTATGTAAGATAATACTGCTACATATTCAAAATAATAGGGTTCAGTTGCTTCCTTGTTATTGTTATTGAGTAATTACTATCA